GGTTGTGATATTTCACTCGAAAAGGCAGTAGAAAGAAGCCCCAACTAATGGACACACTAATCAACTCACTAATGAACACACATTTCGTCGCCTGTATTCGCTTTCGTCAGCAGTTCCTTGTCGTAAAGCGATATTATGGTTTGGGCGGGTTCGATTCTACCGTCCTAATAAACTCAGATGTTACTGAGGTGCATAGTGTGATTCACGTTGATCGGAATACGATTTTTGTCGCCCAAAATTTTTTATTGTCCCGTTATTTTACGAAACATCACGGCCTGTGTTTGGAGGGTATGGTGTTGTATAAAACATTAGTTCGATGGTTTTCAAGCCACCACTAACATTGTTTCTTCATTATATTAGACTAACGCTCCCGGGCTACGCGGTACCCTAGACTAGAGCGCCTGTTGTGTGAACCAGGAATCGGAAAACTCAACAAACACCACTGACGTACCAACAACGTTGACTGTTACGGTGAAAACACCGGAATCGCCAGCCAATTTGAGCGGATAAATCTATAATTCTTCGTGAGACCAAGTAGCGTGTATCTGGTATAAACATACAGAAATTCCTCTTGGTCAAATTCTTTCGTCCGCTCGTCCGTCATTTGCATGGACTTATACGACAATCGTATTGAACATGTTACACATAATTAGTGCGTCTGTACCCATTCTTAAGATTCAGTGGGTAATATTTTATTGCGAGATGATTTTCGCCGCAGTGTGGCTATTTATCTAAAACACAAGCGAAAGACAAATTCGGAGTATTTTCGAAGTCACTGGATACAAATTTCGTACAGATTCGGTGAGCAGGTCGTTGTTCGGACACGACTGAATCTGGAACTTTGGTTCACAAAAGCCCTTCTAGAATAGAATCATGCTTACTGTTTAGGAGATAATGCATACACATACTGTTGGGATAACTGGTACTCCACCATGGATTATCGCACACACTCTGCTTGCCTTCTTTGGCCTCCATATCCCACTCTGCCTGTTATCATAAATTCACGTGTCATTTGTGTTCTCATTCAGGCGGACGTTTTCCATGCTTATCAACTTGTGCGTAAAAACAATGTTCCAGCGAAGAATATAATAACTTTCGCCTACGACGATATTGCAAGCAATCCCAAGTAAATATCGCGTACAATTTTCGCTATATGCTAACAATTAGTGTGTAGCAACCTGCTTGGTTTTCTGGCTGTATCACGCCTCATTGTTGTTCCGTATTTCAAATGTATATAATTTTTTTAATTTGAGTTAAAGGCAATTATGGGGTTTCACATGTCAGTTCAGATGTCTCATCAGAGTTTCTGTTGGTTGATGCCTTTTCATGACTGTAGACGCCATAGAACCCTGATTCAAAGAGCACATGTTGATTATATTCATGAGAATGACGACGGTGATAATGATACCTACTCGTGTGAGTAGTCTGAGATGAATCACATTGATATCTAGATATCATTCCAGTGCTGCTACCAGATGTCGTTTTAGTGCACCAGCCAGCCGGTGCAAATAGTAAGTAGAAAATATAGTAAGCTAAACATTTTGTTATGCATCCGGAGAGGAGAAAAGACCTTCTAGAAGCATTAAAATTTGATTTCTGCGCGGCGACGGTAATAATCCTAAGTCGCTTTTGCCCAATTGTTCCTTCGGCTGTAGCATCTTAAAGGTGCCTAGCTGCCATAACACACGAAGGATGCACGAGATCTGGATTACTGCCATGTTTCCCAAGCCTAAACAGAAGCGATCGGAAGTCAGAGGTAGGGCTGGAACCACGGAACTTCCGGTGAGTAAATTCGCGCTTCATCCACTTGAGCCATCTCGCTTCCTGTCCAATCGAGTAACATTCACGGGCACTAAATATGGGTAGGCTCATGAAATCTACTACTGGTGATGCTTGAATCTAAATTTACCCAAAAATTACATTTTCGCACCAAATTTGGAGTATTGTTTGTTGTGCAATCAACGGTTATCATTGTTCGATACCTAAATTATTTCTGCGCAAAGGATTATTATTATATGTGACAGAAGGTAAACTCATCGTCGTGAAAATGTATTCCAAAACAATCCAGCGAACCCAGGTTGAAATGAATTTGCGAGCCTTTCATTTTCTATCCGACCTACATGTTAATTTCTCCCGGAAGACAAATCGCCACTTTTAATTCTTTTATCCCAGAAATCCGTTTAAAGGCAAAGTTTTCCATGACTACGAGCACAGAGATGTCTACAATGGGGTGGAAATTGACTACCGTGGAAAAGTAAGTCCGGTCCGTGTTCCGCAGCGGTCAAGTCAATTCCTGTATCAGTTGAACGTGTAACACAATGTGCAATCAAAATGAATCTGCGGATCAAATCACAATACAAAATGTGGCCAGATTAATCAGTTTTACTTTATTACACAATGGTCAATCCACTTGGATGAACACTAG